ATTGAAGTCTGCGATGTACCCACTCACCAATGATACTGTAGCGAAAGAAAATTGGGATTCCTTGGATTCAATTGTACAATACAGTATATCTACGGGATTATCTTGATGGCAGTGCAATTGAATATGTCCATATCTTTCATTGTGCTGCGATGCCACCGTCTTATTTTGGTTGATGGAAGGAAACCAGTTAAAGTACTTCAGCCACGAGACCATTATTTTAAAGCACACCTTCCAACCTTATTGAAGTCTGCGATGCCAGTTCATCCTAAAGTTCCTCCTACAGTTTCTCCTAAAGTTTCTACTAAAGTTTTTTCTGCTCCTTCCTCTACACAAGTGACTACATTTACTAAAAAGCAGACGACTGGTCCAAAAAGAAAACAAATTTGCTTAGATCGGTGAGCTTCTTGTGAAACGAGCGTGCAACACACAAGAAACTGTAGACAGTGAAATCAAATTTCCCAGCACTAGTAAAGGAATTTCATCTGTAACTCCCAACACTGGTCCTACTTCAGAAAAATCTAACACCAAAACACAACGAACTTTCACCAATTCGTGGCCAGATGATATCTAAACTACGTAAATCTGGTATCCAGTCTTCCTGATTAAAAAAGTACGAAATTCTGTGCAATCATTGCCATTGAAAACCTGGTTTTGATTTTTCTTTTCCTCCACACGAAAATATTGGTAGACGTTTCCGGTTGGCATGGTTATCACAATTTCCATGGTTGGCTTACGGTGGTTTTTGCGTCACTTGTGCTCTTTTTGGCAGTGAAAGCACGCATAATGCAAGCGAGCTCCAACTATTGATGACCAGTGCTCTTCCTCCAAGTGCTTCTGCTGTCCAGAAACTATGTCAGCATGGTGAAAATCCAATGTTCACGCAACGGCAACTTTCCGTGCTACACAGTTTAAGCGAATGATCGAGAATAAGACACTTGGTATCGATGCATGTGCAGCTGAAAAAACCCACCCTGTAAAAGATCTGCATTGCAACAGAAACGCCAAGATGATTGAGTTTGATGTACAGCCCTAATTGGATATTTTTTGCTACGAAGAACCTGAAATACACAGGAACAGTACATGCGGTACAGAGTTGTGGTTTTATGTAAGTACAGTGATTTTGTAACATTCTAATGTTATAACGTTGAAGAACATGGTATGTTGTTTAAATATTTGACTTATTTAGTGCGTTTCGTTATTTGCTCTCTAAAATATGGCGTAATTAATGACGAATTATATGATAGAATTCGATGCTCAGAACTTAGGAAATGGCATTTCCGGGGTTCAAATTTCAAAAATTTTCCGGGGGGGAATGCCCCCGACCCCCCTAATTATTGACGGTTTTGGAGTGCGCCACAGTCAGGGTTTAGGCTGGATCCGCGCCTGGATGAAATCTCGATTGTTTCGGCATATTTCGGCCTACCACAATGCACTGCTTCCGGGCCGGCAGGCTATTCTTGCCTAATAAACAGGCATAAGGCAAACAAGCAATGTGATCATCTTTCATCTTTGGTTTTCTTTTATGGAAAGCCATAGCTGGCCGTAAGTGATCAAACGGCATTTTGTCGATACGCAGTGGTTCGAGCATTATACATGGTGGTTTCACTATTATATGCAGTGGTTCGACCATTATATGTGGTGCTTTCGCCATTATACGCGGTGCGTTCGCCATTATACAAAGTGGTTCGAGCATTATACGCGGTGCTTTCGTCATTATATGGGGTGCTTTTAACATAATTTCCATATTCTTTCCATGTATATAATCTCACGATTGCTTAATAAATCTGGTAGGCCTATGTGGCTGTGCTTTTTGCCTCTGGTGTGCAATGACAATGACATGCTTTTAACTCTTTTTCGTCCGGTGCCAATTAGACCAGGACTGGACCGTCCTGGTTCTTCGGAGATTTATATCTTTTGTTCAGTGCATGCTATGTAGATGAAAATAACACTGTTCGATTCAGTAGGAAATTTCCTATCAATAGAGTTAGTAAAATATCAATATTTTAGCGATTTACGACCTTTATAGGTCAAGCGACTTCATATTTCATTATATTACACAATAATCCCGAAATATGTAAACAATGTTTACTAAGGCATACCTTTTGCCGAACATAACTTCGGCCCCTTTCAAGATATCTTTTTCGTAATAGTCCTGTTCGATTCACAATCAAAAACACTATTTAGAGTGTTATTTTCAAGCTTATATCTAACAGATTTGCATCTTTTATTTTGGTATTTCAAAATATCCAAATTATATGGCATATATTAAATCCCTCTTTCTGAAAAAACATTGCATTGTCATAATGGTAGCTTTGAGGTTGCTTATTACAAGCTTCAAATATTCAATTTCCTTTTTCCCCCCTGCAGTTTCTTTTAACTCAACAACTTCTTCATCTTCTGATTGGCAAGACATCTTGAAAATCTGATAACATTGTTTATTTTACTGATTTGTGACATATTAAATATACACGCAGCAGTATAATCCATTGTCATCTTTGTTATGTATATATTAACCAGTTTTTTTTTTTTTTTAATTAAATGAGTTTTGAGCATGTTAAAAATCTGGTTGTGAACATGTGGGGAGATCACCCCCTGCCTGAGGTCAGTAATAAACTCACTTTTTTTAGTCAAGTTATACTTGGCTCTTAGACCTCCATCTCACTACTTGAAGGTTCGGCTGATTTAGGGTTTTTCTTCGATCTTTTTGAAATGTAAAGATCTATTGAACGTGCCCTCCTTTCAAGTGTACTGATAGGGTAATTATTTAAATTAGGACAGGAATCAATGCTGCTGTCCTGTAATTCGAGTGCATGCCATGTAGCTCAGTTTATTAATCAAGGAAAATTATTGGGGGTGAAAACAGGTATATAAACCAGAATATCTGCAGATGTCAGTCTTAAACATAACAGCACAGTGGGCCCTACTAAATATTATATTTTACACCAGACAAGACTACTTGTGGAGTTTTGGAAGTTTAATAGGGATGGTTATTAAATATGGACAAGGGGGAGGGGGTGGAGAAATTTTAAAATTTGTTAAAATGTCCCTGTCAAAAAGCTGAAGAGGACCCTCTTGTTAATTCATAATACAATTTTCAATACCCCCTCCCCACCCACACAGAGCTTCTGCTGACTTGTTCTCTGGTCTCTCGTATTAACTCAAAATAGCACCAGGGACTGTGAAAGAATCAGCAGTTTCTGCTGCCTATATAGGTTAACTTAAATACAGGGTAACATGGAAAATTGGAAAAATTGATGGAATACCTTGCTTTGGCTCTTCTTCATCCTCTGAGTTGGCATATCTGCAATTTGGTCTTAACCATTGCTTCCCTCTGCCATGATTGGGGGGGGGGGGTCTAGTTGCATGCTTTATATGGTATAAGAAGACAGCTCAATTTCAGCCATCTCAATCCCAAATATGCCATTGAAATATTTGATCAATTATAACTCCTATCCTACTATACAACTCGGAAGTATGGGGGACATACGTGAAAAATTATTTCAAAAATTGGGATAAATCACCAATTGAGAAAGTTCATCTTAAGTTCTGTAAAATTTACCTTGCTATCAGTAGGAAAGCAAGTAACATTGCCTCCAGAGCTGAGCTTGGAAAACTCTCTCTCATCATTAACATATTCAAAAGGGTCTTCAAATACATCACTTACTTAAACTCACTTCCCCAAACAACCATTGCGAAGCAAGATTTTCTAATCTCGAAAGATCTACACTCCAAGCAGAAAATGTCTTTTTACGGAAATGCAATGGATACTATCAAAAATTTAAATCTAAATGAAGAAATCCTTAATTTAGAAGCCGTAACGACTGAACATATTAAAACTATCACCAAAACCCTTAAGGAAAAATACTTAACATTTTGGAAACATAAACTTAAATTCATCCAAACAGACTTTCTACTCAACATTCAAAACTGACCACAACCTCGAAAACTACCTAGTATTTATAAAAGATCCATACAAAAGAAAATGTCTTTCAAGACTTAGAGTCAGCAACCATAACCTCCAAATTGAGATCGGGCACTATCAAAATATACCCTGTGAAGAACACTTATGTAAAATATGCAATTCAGGAGAGGTGAAAAATGAAACCCATCTCCTCTCTTGCAAAGCCTATGAGCAATCTCGTGCAACCCTTCGAAGTTCATTAGAGAATGCTTCATCTGACGAGATTAATCTAAACTCTCAAACTCTATCAGCAGACCTAATGAAGTCAACTGATAGTAAAATCATAACCAAACTTTCAAAATTTATTTATCATGTTTCAAACAAAGACTTAAATACCTTGAAACCAGGAATGCGGATTAGTAAAGGTTGTAATAACCACCTTATTTGTAAATAGCATACTTGTCTTCTTTCTTTCCTCTTAATTCTTCTTAATATAGTATTAGTCTATTATAAATCATTCCACAAATAATAATCTGTAATAGTCCTAGTTTATCATAGTTTCTTCTATATATTGTTTGTAATAATTTAGCAATACTTAAAATTTATGGTCATGCTAATAAAGCTATTAATTACCTTACCTTATACTGGACCATGCACAGGCGAATGGTTTCATAATCATCAGTTAACAAAGCCACATCAATAATTACTGCTACAGGATGATGTACATCACCAAAAATGTTTTGTAAGCAATAAAAACATTTTTGTGGCATCTCACTTGAATCAATATTTGATGGGTATTGTAGATGGAAATTGTCGAGTGGAAATTATATGTATTTATTACACCTAAACCAGGAACAGAAGCAAAAAATGCAACTTTAAGGGAATAAATTGAAAATTTTGTGATTTTCATACCAGGTTCATGTAAACATGTTGACAATTTTCCTTCCAGTTTGATTTTGTCCTGGTCTTATGTAAATGGGGCCTTGCCCTTATGAAAAAATCCTATAGGAATTCCTATTAGATTTTGGCCCAATTTCCTATAGGAATTCCTATAGGATCCTATAGGAATTCCTATAGGAAATTGGACCAAAATCTAATAGGAATTCCTTAGATTTGCATAGAAATTCATATTGGATCATATAGAAATTCTTGCATAATCCTCTAAATCAAATTGCCTAAAAGAGTTATTTACCAAGGTGAAGGAAAAAGAGAAACAACTAGTGAAAAAAATTTATTACAGATAAAAATGTGGCAAATATAACGGCTATATTTACAAATAACATACTAATTTACCGCTTCTACCATTTTTAAATACTAATTTAGTCTATTTATCTTTTTAACTTATGACATTTTTCATTGTTCTCAGTTTAAGAAATGTTTCTTATATTTTCTTACTTTTAGAAAATTTTGAGACATAAAATTCTACTATATCATATTACCTATATTATGTATTTAAAAAATAGAAAATTCTGTATGGTATGCACTACTAACATAAGTTTTTTTTCTGTCATTCCTATAGGGTATACATAAAGTGCGAGCCAGCGAGCCATGCCGATGTTGCGAGCCACCACAGATCGGTGCGAGCCACGCGATGTATGCAAGCCATGTGCAATGAAATATAAGAAATTGGTCTTGACCAAATGGTACTGAGTAACATCTTATCTCCAGGACACAATAAGCAACTTGCGTGTTAGACTGATTTTTGATCTAGGTAAAAAAGTAACTTCCTGTAAAGAACTTGTTAAAACTGGTGAAAATGCAAAGTTTGGTTAGTGCGAAATGTTGTAGAATATGGAAGGTGTAGCCTTGCGGGGTTTGCATGCATGTTTTGTATATGTTACAATATTGTATATGTTACAATATTGTATTTGCCGAAAATGCTAACAATTTCCGCACGTAATACAAACATATGCAAGGTTTGCAAACTTTGCAGGACTGTGTTTACCAGGGTTTGCAACATTAATTTGTCAACACTGTAAATAGTTAAATTGTGTTAACACTCGTCACTTGTGTTCTTTAAGTCTCCCTTTGTGCCTCGTAGCCAAAACTGAAGTACAAACAACGCACAAATCTATTCGACATATGACATATCTGAAAGTCTTCGATTCGCGAGGCAATTTATATCGCAAACCACAACAATATTGGCAATATTGTCTACCACGCTTGAATTAGACAAAAGCGCATATAA